TCTCAGTGACAAACACAGAACACCCAGTAAAGACCACCTGCTTCTCAGCAAAGACCTCAGAAGAGCCAGGAAAGACCATAGTTACCAAGACTACAGAGCACACATCTAAGGCCACAGGAGACAAAGCTATCACTACTACCTTTCATCCTAATAAAACTGAAGCTTCTCACCAGATGTCCATTGGCTATTTTACAGTCACCACAGCTAGCATGGAATTGAGTTCCATCACGTCAGAATCACCAGACAACAAGAGCCATCCAAACCAGAATAAAGATAGCTCAAATGGAGATCTTCAATCTGGAAAGATAGGAGAAAATGATTCATTTCCTGCTTGGGCCATAGTCATCGTGGTCCTGGTGGCTGTGATTCTCCTCTTGATACTCCTTAGCCTGATCTTCTTGGTAAGGGACAGGGATGTACCAGGGAAATGAGCCAGTGGGATAGGAAGTTGAGGAGATTATTTTGAGGTAGAACTATAATGAATAATGAGTCTAGGAGAAGAGACATGATGGGAGATGTTGTTGTTGTCAGGTTCCAACTCATAGTGACCTCATGCACAACAGAATTAAATACTGCCTCCTCAGGACTAGCAGGAAATTAGTGTTGGTTTTTGTCCAATCAGCCCTAACTCATGGCAACCTTATGTATAACAGAACAAAATGTTGCCTGGTTCTAAGCCATCTTCATGATCACTGGTAAATTTGAATCCATTGTTGCTGTCATTGTGTTGCCTTCCAACCCAGGGGGCACATCTTCTAGCAAGCACTAAATGAAACACTATTCTATTGTGATTCTGAAAGTTTGCCTAATTTGGAGAATTCGCCAAATGGCCTGTCTTCCTAGTCTGTCCTAGTCTGGAATCTCTGCTGAAATCTGTTTATCATGGATGACTCTGCTCGTATTTAAAATACAACATGCATGCTACCACAATATGACAAAGTAATAGGCAAGTGGTGGTAGAGGGTGTATCGGTGGTGAAATCTATGGAGAAAGACAATAAATTAATTGGATGCAAAAAAAAAAAAAAAAGAATTGGGGAGTTGCTTAGAAAAAAAGAGGTGAAGGTAGAAACATTGCGGGTTGGAGTGTCTGGAACTTGTGAAAAGAGGACATGAGGACAAGGAGAATAAAATAACGGAGCTGTGGCTAGAATAAGGAAGATTAAGTGTGTTGGATCTGAGGCTAGAATAAGAAGGCTCGAGGTCTGGTAGGAATCTTGGGAAAGGAGGGAGCCACAGGTCAAGGATCAGGGAGCATAACATCACAGGGTCTAAGACATGGGTGTTGGAAGAAAGCAAATGACTTGGCATACTGTTTGGTATACATATAATGGTATACTCTTTTTCCTTCTTTTTCAATCACAGGCCTTCTATTTGACTCGAACACACGTTCCATGGACCCAGAACACTGAGAACAAAGACCCAGAAGATGATGGAGGACCTAATTCTTACCCAGTCTACCTGATGGAACAGCAGACTCTGGGCAAGGACCAGATCCCTTCCTCACGATGATCATCGGGAAATCATCCACCTCCAGCTTTCTCATGCCCCATCCCTTTCTCAGATGAGGAATTAAATCTATGATTCTTACTTCCTGGACTCCAGGAAAGACCTGACAGTTAACAGTATACAGTTAACAATATTAACTGTTAACTCCATCTGCTGGATTCTTGTTGAAACTGGTTGCGGAAAGAAATGATAACCAAGAAGGATATGTTTTTGAAAGAAAGACAAGAAGGAATGAACAGTGCAAGCAAATGTTCTCTAGAGAAGATAATGTTCTGAGAATGAAAACGTGTTTGACGGACATATGGGATAAGGACTGATAATGACACTGAGTCCTGAGAGCAGAATGGTTAATGGAAGTTTAGGAGCCTAAGAGGGCTTGGCAGTGTGGACTATGGGAAGTGGGGAGAATGAGAACTGAGCCCCGGGACTTAAGGACTGATCCATATTATTTTTATCCACTATTACTTAGAAATTTTGTGTAAACAGTCTTGTCTGAGTTCCTAAGACTTCGGTTTTTGTTTTGTTTGTTTTTTTTAATGAAAAAATAAGATCTGAGAAAAAAACAGCATTTATTTCCTTCTCCATCCTCTCTATTCCTTGGAGAAAGGAAAAGTAAAGGAAAAATAAATATCTCTCATTCAGTTGATTCGTCTCTCTTCTTCCCAATCCCCTTAGTTTTCTAAATGTCTACAGAAGAATCCTGTTGTTTTGGCTTGCTCCCAGGAGGGGATTTTGGTTTTGTCTGAAGCTTCATCCACTGATGCATACATATCCCAGAACTTTACTGTTGGTATCCCTTACTCAACATTTATTTTCCTTTGTCTTCCACCAAGTCACTTCTCACTTTCTTTTGAAGGACTCATCCATCTTCTTCTCTACTGACCCTGTATTTATCCACTCTCCTCACACCTTCACCCCAAATTCTAGGCATTGTATCTGTGTGCTGTCTCTCAACTTAGTATAGCCCTACTGGGCAGAAGAAGGAAAGAGAAGATTGACTAAAGGATAGTTTCCTTTCATCGATTGGTCTTTTCTATAACAAAAAATGTCAACTACAATGTAAGGACATCATTATTTTGGACTGTCGGGTGGGAGAAAATCTTGACTCTGGCTGTGACCCCATAGATGACCTTGAGCAGGAGTGGATGGAGGACAGGTCTGGGGTTCTCTGGTTTGGAATAAGGAAGGTGGAATTTCTATTGCTTCTAAATGGCTCATCTTCTGGATTTAGGTGACATTTTTTTGCATGGTGACAAAGTGAGGAGAGAATATGCCAATTAACAAGCAAACACATTTTAAAGCACCCATAATATCCTCTGTTGAGGATATAAAGAAGTATGAGACATGCATAGTTCACACTTAAGATACAAACAAAGAAAAATTAAAACAATGGTTGTCACCAAGTTGCACTATTCAGAATAAGGCAGCACCCGAATTAATTAAATCCCAAATCACAGTGTTAATCGCATGACTGCTAAGTGAAAATTGGCAGTTTGAATCCACCCAGATGTGCTATGGAAGAAAGGCCAGGTGATATATTTCTGAAAAATCAAGCCACTGAATCCTCGAGCAGTTCTCCTCTCACATACTTGAGTCAGAACTGACTTGATGGGAACTGGTTTTAACTGGTACCATGTATTATCATATTTGTGTTAGGGCACGAGCCACATGTAAGGGTCAGTCCCAATTTTCCTTCCTTTGAACCACCCATTGTCCAGGTAGTATTAGAGCTCACTCATACCTGAGGAGAAGAAGAACACTCCGGTGCAGCAGGCCCTCCGACTTCAGCTCCTTCCAGAATCAAATAAGAGGGCCCAGGTTACAGTTTTGCTACACTGGCATCCCCACTTGCAGGGACACTGGAAGTCTGTCTTGGACAGTAATTCTGATCGGACCAGAGTGTTGCCCCTGAATTATCTGGACTGGCTGGCAGTCAGGTTCCAACTCTGGACTGGATGGTCTCTCAGGCTGGTGGGGCTCTCATCTTACTCTCCTCCGAAGGACAACTCAGCTAAAGGCAGGACTGAAGCTAGAGGTTAAAAGTCAGGATTCCAGAATGGAGGCATGCTAGGTGCCCAAGGGGCCCCAGATTTAGGACCCTGGAGATCTTGAGGTAGAGATGGACTTTTGGGTTCTGGAAAAGGTCTGGGGAACCCCAGAGAAAAGAAGGATGCCTGTTTTCTGGTCTTCTGAGCAAATTGTGAGTCAGCATGTGGCAGCTGGCTGGATCTGGATATCCTTACCCAGCCCCCAGCCCCTAACCATTGAATTTTCCCAGCATGGGCCCTAATTAAAACAAAAATAAATAATGAGGGCACTTCAAAAAGTTCGTGGAAAAATGGAGCTAAAGGTAGTGGAATTTTTCCATGAA